TGCCAGACTGCGAGATAACCTGTCAGAAATGCATCTTTTTTAACTTTGTCCATGGTATAAAATTGCAGTTCTATTATGTTTAAATAGAAAAGAAGCGCTGCCAACCTGTCAAAAACAAACCACGTGCAAACTAAGCAAGCGGAAGCTAGACCACAAACATGGCGAAGGGGCAGAGCAAACATACTTTTTATCACGTGACATGCGATCTTGAAACTTTTCTATAGTTCCGCAGTTACCTAGAACTTGCAGTATATTAATGGCGACGCAACAGTGACGGTACAATACGGGAAAATACATTAACCTTCTCTGGAATCTTGTGGATAAATTACCACTGTCGTCCGTCCGTCCGTCCGTCTGTTATTCCTTAATCTCGAGAACGGAATGAGATATATAAAAGTCATGACCAGATATGGAAAGCTTAGAGGTATGAGGCCCCGATTAATTATATATGAACTTCCGTTGCAAACCGGAAGTTGCGTTATTTCAATTCAAAAATTTTCCCTCGAAAGGAGTTAGATGACTAGCACGACTCCGTTGCTAAAGGAAAAGTATGATGTATAGTACTGTACAGTACATGGGCAAGGGACTCAGTACTAATTTGAAGTGGAGAGTACATATTTTAAATGAAATTAAAAATTGCAGCCTGGCATAGTGACGTTGTCATAAAAACTAACTGCTTGTTCACTGTATCATTCTACAGACATTGGTGAAGTTTGGCATCATCGTTGTGAATCACACTATGTCATTTATATTGTAATAATTTATCTATCTTGATTTGAAATGACATTAAATTGACGTCATTTTGCTTTACGCTAGAACTTAGCAAGAACTTAGCATCACTCTTCATGTAAAGCTGGATTTATTTTACAGGTAAAAAGGTGTTTTAAAAGAACCCTCCAGAGTGTCAATTGCTGAAGGATTTATCATTACTAACAGAACCAGTGATAAGATCGGGAAACGTGGTTAAAAGTAGCAAATTTTTCCAAGTACAGGTTTACAGGTTTATCAGTAAGAACTGGAGGAGATTCGTGAAGATGCTTTACGCCTATAAAATGTGAAGATAATTTTAGCAGATTCAACATGCAATAATGAATTAACATAGCCGTTTCAGTTTTCTCCCTGCATCTATTAAGCAGCAATTTTTATAGTACAGCAGAAAGTAGGAGCAGTAGCAAGAAATATAGAGGATGAAATTTCTGAGAAATTCAAAAACGTGTTCTCTAAAAATCAAAGTTTCTGAAGGTTCAAAATTTTGAAGGGAACATTCAAGTAGATGTTGAACCAATTGTTGTTAACCTGTTTAAGAATACAGACGTGGAAAGATCATTTTCTCTGATAAACGATATAGTTAAAAAAAATTAAAACGGAGTGGTCATAAGGGGCTGTCCATAAATTAAGTCCATTTTTTCTCGAAATTTTTACACCCTTCTTTTGTCCCAGTTTGTCCAAGTTTCCGTAACCTCCTCCCCTCTTCGGACTTCCAACAAAACTCGAAGTTTTGTAAGAATTTCTGAAACGTAATAAAACGCGTAAACTGTGTAAAATTTAATGAAATAAACGGACGTCCACCGAGGTTCGACATATCCTGATATTTTGAAGAATTCATTTTTTTCATCAACAATGACAATATCAGTTTTCTCATTGAATCCAAAAGTATCCCAAACCATTACACTGCCACTCATTCTAACTTTGGCTTCTCTTTTCACATCATGCCAATAATATCCACAACTACCTGGTCCATCTAAATTCTACTTTTTTCATCAGAAAACAAAGTTTTTCTCATTCCTAGGTTCAGCTTATGACAGACTTAGCCTATTCGCGTTTTTCATGAACTATAGAGGGTGCTGCATTTTTACAAAATGGCTACTTTATCTGGGTCGNAAGCGGTGGAAGCACCGCTTTCCTTGTATTTTATAAAAAATAAATACATACTAATTTTAATTATATGAAAATAATCGCACAATATTTTATTATAACCGCATTATGTATCTTATTGCAAATTTCTATACTACACGTGAAAAAAAAAACAATAAGATTGCTATTGTATATTAGAATATTAGTGGCGGAGTGGAATCTCTGTATTGTCAGATTCCAAAAAGCCAGATTTGCGCTCGCGCTTTACGGAGCACCAACCTCACCCGGTTTAGCTGGTGGAAGCCTACGACCTTGAGTTGATGCTACACATTCCAACACTTCCAATTCTATCCGGGACCGGTTCCGGGCTGTTAGCCACCCGCCCGCTAGTGTGAGGCTCTGGACGGGTCCGAGCCCTCACTGAAATTCGCGTTGGAATAATTGTTTTACAGAAAGAAAAATATATTAGTTAGAAATAAATTTTTATGATATGAAAATGCGACGCGAATCTTTTAAACAATAGAACAGTGTAAGTCCGTCGACCATTTCCGATTGGAGATCGAATTAAACTTCGATTTTGACCTCTCCCGCGCCTCCCGAAAGGTTTCGAATTGTCATCAGGTNATGATATGAAAATGCGACGCGAATCTTTTAAACAATAGAACAGTGTAAGTCCGTCGACCATTTCCGATTGGAGATCGAATTAAACTTCGATTTTGACCTCTCCCGCGCCTCCCGAAAGGTTTCGAATTGTCATCAGGTGACGACGGGAGACCAATCGGAATGGGGAATCAAAGAAAAACAGATAAAACCCCGGGAATCCAAGGACGCGACGGCTTCTTCTCCCGAAAGTTCCAAGTGACGGACCTGTAGTTGTGTGCGTGTCTCGCCCCCATCTTCGGCTCCGTCTCCCGACCTCGGATCGACAACTTTCCATCAACGGAAGTCGACCGCATCGTCCTGGNCAGTTTTTACTGGCTTATCGAACAAACGAATACGAATGGACCCTAGACCATCACTGACTGATTGCCATTGGAAGTCGGCTTGTTACAAAAACATAGCTTCCCTATCAACAAATGTCACGGTACGCCCCTGATTGCTATTCATCTTTACTGTTGACAACACACAAGAATGATTCAAACGACCCAGATAAAATAGTTTTGTTTTTGAACACCATGGGCGAGCATCCGGTGAAAAATTGAATAGTAAACTGTTAAGATTTCAAAAGTTTAAAATGATTGGCTGTTAAATACAGGGTGTGATGTAATAACCATCCATTCAATTGTTCATTAAAAATATATTTACATTTATAAAGTTTTATTACTCTAAACTATTCAAAATTAACTATCCTTATAATTGTGTCCTCTACAGATTCGAGCGTAACAACTGATTTTCTTTCCAGTTTCGAAAAATGCACGCCCNATGTAATAACCATCCATTCAATTGTTCATTAAAAATATATTTACATTTATAAAGTTTTATTACTCTAAACTATTCAAAATTAACTATCCTTATAATTGTGTCCTCTACAGATTCGAGCGTAACAACTGATTTTCTTTCCAGTTTCGAAAAATGCACGCCCCATTGTTCCGCTAGAAGTATTTCCTGTCAACTGAATAAGTTGATAGGAAATACGCCGCAATGTCACGTGGCTAAGGAGAGTGACGTTTCTAGGTAGTAACGTAATTAGGTCAGGTGACACGATTCACGCGTCCATCTCCACGACAAGTTTAAGCACCGGTGTACATTCGGTAAATACTGTATTCCTAAGATTTTTTTGTCTATAGCGATTTTTCTACAGGTCTCCCCCCAAAAATTCCGCGTTTTTGCAAATGTCTATTAAGTTATGTGTCTTATAAAAGAAATTTAATAGAAAACGTGTAATGGTACAAATCTATAGTTTTACCAGAAATTAATTACCAAAATTTTAAATAAAATTGTTTGAACAAATTTCATTTATTGCAATAAAAATAATCTGAATCATAAACATCGAAAAACGAAAACGAAACTAGATTATTTTTAGAAGTTGCTAAATCAATAAGGATGACGCCACAGTGATATCTCGGTTGCCGTGGTGAGTGCTTTGGTTTTGGTTTCGGTGTGAGAGGTACATTACGCCCGCACAGGCAGCAAACGATACGTGAGAGTTACAACTTATTATTATTACCGGTAAGTTATAGTTCGTATGCTTAAATTTAATTAAAATAATAAGTAATAGACATTAGTTTTTACGGTATTAGGAAAATATCAGCAAGTTTAATTACTGATATCGTTTATACTTGTGTATTAAACAAGACGTGTGACAGATTAAATAACGTGTAATAAATAATTTGAAACAGAATTTTAATTTAATTTATGCGTAAATTGATGCTTTCTGAATGTATTTTGATTTAATAAATTGTATTTATTACTCTGTGCGATGAGATTGAACTCGATCGTAGTACTCTTTACGTCAAAACTTTACTGTTTATTTTTCTGTCTTTTCCGGTCTCCATTAAACTTGCTATTAGATATTAATGTGTGTAATACTGTACTTATAAATCCATAGATCACACCTCTGGCCTTCCCGTTTTCCCAATTATCACCCAGGCAAGAGGGTTTCTTTTTGTGCCCAATTCACGCTCCGAATGATACGTTTGGGACCTTAAATTAACATAGCTGTTAAGGCTGTTATACACGTTACGGAAATCCTCAAAGGATGTACTGTACGTATTTAACAGACGAAAAAAAATCGGATATAACTGGCTGGATCGAACATAGTAATTTACAAAACTTATTAAAATATTTTCCAACGTATAAAGAATTATTTTTATTTAAAGGTGGATAGATAAGAAAAAAAATCACGGTTAATCCTCAAAGGATTTCCGTAACGTGTATAAACAGGGGTGTCGTTTCCACTATGGAAGGTATGGAAGACGTCACATTTTTGCAGGTATGGACTTCCATACCTCAGAATATTGAAAAAATTATTTTATAATTTAATGCAAGGCAAGCCAAGGCACTTGCTCTCTGTATGAAAACAAATCGTTTCCTTGGATGTTGACCAATCACTCTCTTACATAATCCAAAATATCAAAATTTTTCTAACTAAGCAATTCATCACTCGGTAGGTCTAAATGCAATTTTTTTTTAATATTCAATTTAAATAAATTATTTCCTTACTTCAAAATACCAATTATCTATTAAGGTAGTTGATGCCAAATGTCATTTTCTTACAAAAGTGTTGAAACTCGAGATATCAGTTATTAATACTACCATAAGTGGTTTAAGTTTTATTAAGATTTTATGTGCTGTTATCAAAATACTCAACTTTGAATTTGCATATTTCAACGAGGCATCTTATGGGCAACTAATTCAAAAATTCCTATTTTTGTTAATAAATTTTAAAATTTTCTTACTGTTAACTTAAAAAAACTATTATTTTACGTAGATTTTTATGTGATTNCAAAAATGGATAATGCTCCTACCACGCCCTTACGACTTTGACCTAGCTTCTATTTATAATGAAAAGTCTACCGATTCCACATTCATCCTTTATGTAATCTATACACATAAAAGACAAAATTTGTATGTATATTAGATAAAGGCTTTTATACCGTTCAACGTATCCGCACCAAAGTTCGCACGAGTATTCTCTAGAAAATATGTATTGTGGGGTCTCCACTCCCAATCATCTCTAAAACCCAAGCAATTTTTATGTTGTAGTTTCATTACTGTGATTATTCGGCTCAATAAATGTACATTTAAGTTTTGTTAAGATTTTATATACCGTTATCGAGATACTCAACTTTGAATTTGCATATTTTAACGAGACATCTTATGGGCAACTAATTCAAAAAACGCCTATTTTTGTTAATAAAATAAATTTTCTTACCGTTAATTTAAAAAAACTATTATTTTACGTAGATTTTTATGTGATTATTCATTGGGTGTAAAAAAAACAAAAATATACTTACAATATTTTATGTACTACGTAAAAGTCAGTGATTTTATTTACTAAATATCGATTAAAAAAGTATATTTATTTGTATTTTAAGTGATTTGGTATTTTAAATACTGTATCATACAATGACTCAGACAAAAATGATACTCGTTCAAAAATATTTTTATAACTAATAATGATAATAATTTTAATAATAATGGTGACACATTTAAATCTAATTTAAGCTAATATAGCAAACGTATTTTTTCATTGTTGATTTTTCTCGATAAACTCATTCAACAACATTTTAATATCTAAGGAAGCTGTTAAATCATCATATATTGTATATTCAAAATGCTACAATCATTTAAACAACATTCCATCATTGTAGACCTTGTATAACTTTTTATCCTATGAAGTGTTGAAAAAGATTGTTCATTTGTACACGTGGAATCTGGGATTGTTGGCATAATTCAAACTAATTTATATACTTGTTAAAAATATCAGGTAGCGAGTTATTCGACTTTAAATATTGAATGACGTCATTCAAACAATTAATACGTCTGTAATTTCTTTTTGCATATTCTAAAAAGAGATCTTGTTGGTTTCTTAGTCTTTCATTATCGAAATCAGTATTTTCTTGATCCCTTGAGTAATTGTTATAAAACTCACTTATTATTTCAGAATCCACATCCTCCTTTTCAATGATAAAATTCTCAAACTGAATAAGTAATTTAATTGTTTTTGTATTGAAACAATCAGTTAGCAATGTCATAAATCTTGAAATAAATTTTTCTGTAGTATTCTTCTGAATTCGCATAAGAATGACCTTTATTTTGAGTATCGGAAAATCGTTGATTTGTCTTACGTTGACAAGGTACTTTTGGTCCTTCTATCTCATAATCTTCAATATTTTGTAAAACAGAAGTCCATATGGGTGAAAATTTAGAGTCTCTCTCAATTCTTTGTGGACAGTACGATCGAGTTGGTCGTACTGTCCACGTTAAAACTTTTCTCTTCTGGTTATTTTTCTCTTTCTGAGGCTCCTTTAAACTTGCTATTAGATATAAATGTGTTTAATAGTTGATCACATATATGTTTAATACTTATAAATCCATAGATCACCCCTCTGGCCTTCTCATTTTCCGAATTATCACCCAGGCTAGAGGGTTCATTTTTTGGGCTCAATTCAAGCTCCAAATGATACTGTTTAGGACTTTAACATAGCTTTAGAGCATACTCATAGGAACAAAAAAGTCAAAGGAACCATACCACTATGAGCAATCCTTCGCAAGATATAGCCCCCCAAAATTACTGTGTGATATTTTTCTTTTTTTTTTTTTTTTTTTTTTATCTCCAATTCCCCCGTGGATGTAGGTATTTCTATGTGATTTCTAGTACGGTTGGTGGTCGGGAGTCACACCAACCATACTTTAATCATTTTATTATTTATCTACTAATTTTATAACTAATAAATACCTGTTTGAAATACTTTATTGTTAAATGCAGTTATACAAATTTGATTNCCATGGATGTAGGTATTTCTACGTGATTTCTAGTACGGTTAGTGGTTGGGAGTCACACCAACCATACTTTAATCATTTTATTATTTATCTACTAATTTTATAACTAATAAATACCTGTTTGAAATACTTTATTGTTAAATGCAGTTATACAAATTTGATTGGAATCTCATGGATAATGCTTGTAAGTAAGCATGAACAAACAAGATGCCAGTCATCTGTCAGAATTTTGGATGACTGGCAACTTGGAATAATAACTGCTGAAGAAACACACAATTCTTTGGTTAAACAATATAACTTCCAAAATCAATAAACCTCTGTGGTTGGGATTGGAAATTGGTGTTGAATTTGTTGTCGACATTGATCTTTTTCACAGACCAAGTTGGTTTCAAATTATCCCTTGGAAACAGGTAAGAGACCGATTGGGAAATGAGAACGTGGGACTGAGATCAATTGGGATGTATGATTGAGGAGCAACTCGATCTTGTAAAAACCCGTGTCTCGAGAACACCAGTGACCTGTTGGCCTCCTCAGATTAATCTTGTACTGATGCATTAGGGTACGACTATGCAGACATGAATCTAGTAGTGAGCAATATAGTTCTCGCAAAGGAAAACTATGCACAAGTGAGAAATTTTGCCAGCAGGAGCAAATTTCTGGCACTCTCAAATATCTGACAGGATTTGATATTTATTGTGAATACCTTCTTGCTGAATACTGTGCATGCACCTTGGCATGAGTAGATGGTTTCTCATATCTTTCATTCACTGTACATATAAAAAGATTTTTGTTTTTAAACTATAGATATACATAGTCATATAAACTCTGTTTTATTAACATATTATAAAATTCTTTATACTTTCTCAGTTTTCAGAGAGGAGGAACACCATATTTTAATTTTCTTTTTGTGTGTTCGTTATGAAGTAATCCTTAATAACAAAGATTTTTTGCTAGTAATAAACATCGTATTTGAACCATTTTGATTTTTACTTCCATACAGTTCAATAATTCACACTTCTCTGTGATGAGATCTATGTAAATATGTGACATCATTATCTCCATGCCTTTCTCTCGTTGGTGTAGTCCTTCTATACTTAATGAGAGTAACAAATGTCATCACCTCTTCTCGCCAAATATTCTTGCTCACTTGCTCTCTCGCATGCATGCATGCATGTTGCTTGGCAAATTCACTCACTCATGTCTGCATAGTTACCTTTACTCCTTGTCATTGTTGACTTCTCTTCTGTTCATCAAATTATGTGCGCTAATGACTCTTCTCTACTCTGTAGAATCGAAACTCTCTACTTCCTGAGAAACTGTCAGCATGGATGCCTCATCTATTAAACTCTGAGAACTGAACTTTGTGGACTTTTATCAACTTGGCAATAAACTGAGGATCATGTAAGAATCTTTTAATAAATGGTTCTATTGAATGACAAGCTTACTTTGTACTAAAAAACACATGCCCACATATGTGACCCCATTCTGGCCTATAAAAATTCTCCCCATTCTAATTTTTGCCTTTTTAGTGGATATTTCTATAGCAGGTCCAGACAAGGTCATGTGATAATTTTTCATAATATGAGGTGGTGACATGAGAAAACAGGGCCAGCACACCGAAAATTGCCGCCTGAAGCGAGCCAAATTTATGCTGTTCCTTTTTCACAGTTGCTGGTAAAGTAAGAGCATAGGAAAGGCAACAGGGGCACCTGTACATTGGGGCATTTGGGATACATGCCCCTTTTTCATCTGTGTTTCCCTTTTTCTAATTCCCAAGGGGACCTAATTTCCATTATTGACAAACAACAGAAAATTTGTGACTTCTATTCTAGCCAATTCCTCAAATATAAAAGAACAAATATCATTCATTAATTTCATTGTCCCATTCAACTTTGTTGTATGTTGACCAAAATTAGCCTTTAAAACAATTAGCCTTTAAAATTAGCCTTGTTTTTAAGGTCAAATTTAGGCCCTGATAAGGCCAAGATAGCCCTGATTGCAACCAGTGTCATCTGTGAGAGTACTGATCTGATTGTTTATTATAGACAGAAAACTAAAACTATTCTCACATATTCTTTAAAACTGCATTTATATTTATACATAAAAAAGTGAAAAACTACATAAATAGACTTTTAATATCATTGAAATTTTCTGGTCAGTCAATAATATAGCTAGTTATGTCAGCCTTTCCTGTGCCAATGTTGAACATAATTATGAATCCTTAACATATGACTCCCTATAAAATATCAGTGCCAATGCATCCTGGCACGTTGCAAAATTAAAACAATAGAACACTAACTGATGTATTTACATTGAAAAATTATCAAAGAGGCCAACTAAGTAAATTGTTTATTACATTGTTGTATATTGTAATAAATAAAAATTTCAATATATGATCCAAAAATGAGGCAACCACCACACCCCACATACCAGCCTATGCCAAAATGACATTCTCTAGACTAAAGTCTGCCACTTTCTTGTACAGTTCAAAGTCAAACCAAAGCATGTTTGGTTTGACTTTTTAATCATCAACAATTAATCAATTTAATGATTAAAACAACACTATAACAGTGACGATAAAGATCAAAAACATTAGAATTTATCATCAGGAATAACCAGTTTGCAGGTTACTGAAATTTAACTTAATGGCATGAACCAGCAAGAGGAGTCTCTTTTCCCTTGTAATTTTTCCAAGGGGGAACTTCTTGGGAATAGGCTGGATTCCTGCAGTCATCCCTGAAATTTAGTTTTCGTGATCTTCATCTCTATGCTCTAAAAGATGCATGAATTGCATGACATACTATGGCAAAATACAACTGTCCTATATTGAGTTATTACATGTCATGAAATTCTGTCTTTTAATGCTGCTAGGTTGACAACATTTGTCTTGATAAATGAGGTTCTTTAGGTAGCCCATAACCAAAAGTCAGGTGATCATGGCAGCCACGAAATTGTAATGGTGGTCTTCACCATTAAATGGCAGCTGAGATCACAACTTCATACAAAAACTGTTGAATAAGGCTTGTACATCTAAGCCAATATGCAAGGTGCACCATTTTGCATAAAGATTGTGATGTTCAGATAGTTTCTATGTTGTAGTGCTGGAATGGCAATGGTTATATCTGTAATTCATTAGCAAACACATACAGTATACATATTAAGGGAACAGCAGTGCCAAATTTCACCCTAGTAACTGAATTTTGAATAAAAATTTCTCTCTCAAATTGAAACTGCATATTCAGCACAATATGTACAGTACACCAAATTTGGTTGAGATTTGACCAATAATTTTAACTACAGAAAGCTCTGAACATCTACTGTTTGAGATACATGGTGATCATAATTAAAGGAAATCACAGTATTTAATTAATTATTTTCAACTATATAATAAAGTTTAATGTATTTATGCTCATATAATGAAACATAACCTTTTATATTTTTTTTATTATAGAATTGTGTGAAGTAAACAGCCATGATAAGAAACAGAGCAAGCCCAAGGTAAATTTCATAAATAGATTTTGAACACGATTCTAATATTTGTATAACTAAACATAATTACTTATCTTCCTTTATAAATAATAATGCTTTTAAAATGATTTTATACTTTAACAGAATTACTATTAGTTTTTTCTGTTATTGATTTATGTGTTACTGGAAATTGAATAAACCTAAATTTGACTGGTTAAAAGCTGAAATAAGTTTCTAGTTTTGTCTAGGTAATTGGCAGTCTATTCAACCCCACTTGGGTAAAACTGAATTTATTATGAAGAAAAGATATGGTGAAAATGACATTATGAAAAGTGTATTTATTAGAGAAAAGAATAATGTTTTTGTAATTTTTATAAAATTAATAAATAAATGTGTTAAGAGTACAGTAAAATCTCAACTTAATGAACAAAATTTCTGGTTCTTTTGTCATTTGTGAAAATTACCCTGTTAATTTTAAAATGCATTTTATATGTAATTAAATTAACATGTTTATCTTTCAAATCCAAGAGTCATTGCTCTCAACTTCATGCCACAGTGGGGGGTGTCTCAATATATCTTCATCTAAAGATGAATAAATCGGAAATTTTTTGTTTTTGTCAAATCTAAAGTTTTTTTAAGAACACTAAACTTTAATTGTATTTAACTAAACAAATAAATAAACATTTTTTGGAACATGTTTATTTCAGTTTGGATTGTATACTTGTTTATTACATTCTTGGAACTATGGTGAGTACATAAGCAATACTTATGAAGTTTAATTTCCCAGAAAAGTTTTCTATATGTACTTAATTTTGATTACACAAATGTATCTTACACAGTAGTTTACTAATCTTAATTAATTAGTGTGACCAGAGGGTTGGCACTTCTTTGATGCCATGTCAAAAGAGCACTACTGTGTCCTGTCAGCCAGAGACAGAAGTTGCGACGGCTGTTTATTTTTGTTCAAATTCGTTACATGAGAGTCGTGTGTGTAGGCCGTCGGATTTGGTATGGAGGAATGTGAGACACTCAGATACTAGATCAACAAAACAAATACCCATTTATTTTATGTTATATGATCTACATGCTAACAGTAGCAAGAAAATAGATAATTGATACTAGAGTGGCACTGAAGTGTTTGCAAGAGAGAGAGTTTACATGAAATTATGCATTGTTATAAATACCTGGAAATAGAACAACTTTGTGGATGGGACAATCATCCGTTGACCGAGTCCAGCACTATGGGGACAGTCCAAAGAAGGAAAGTGTTTGAGATTTCTAGTTCTGAAGAAGGGCTGTGCGGTAGATTTTTCTCAGTATGATGCAAGTCTTTGAAATGACGCCCCTTAAATGCTGCTTATGCCACCCCCTTACGCTTGATGCATAGCCCTGTTCTGGAGTCTGGAGGAGGAGGTGATCAGACTAGATCATTGGAGGAGCAGGTGATGATGACTTGTGTTGTGAAGAAATCAGCAATGACTTTTACTCTTGGAGGAACTAGCAATGACTGCCTAAACTTGCTGCTATTCGTCAAATTAAAACAGTAGAACATGGCCAGGAGGGTAGAAGGTCATGGAAAAGCGTGTCTGTTGGCATTGAGAACATGTAAGATGAGATGCTCTCAGGTAGAAAAATTGTCAATTATCACTGCTGACAATATTGTATTGACTAATTTTCCCTTTTTTTGTTGATTAAAACTTTTGTTCATAAAGTCTGGGTTCTCACAGTAGTATAACATTTATTCAGAAAACCTACACTATTATATAATGGACATTCAGTTTTAACAGAAACTCCCTTGCCCAAATTAGTCTGTTAATTTGAGGTTTTATTGTAATAATGAAATAAGAATGGATATATGGCTTGTTTGAACAGGCCTTCTATATCACAAACATATTTTGGATGTTTTGATTTGCCTGCTCGACACTACCCTGAGATAGGCTTGGCACAGCTTGCCATGGACAATTTTAAGGCCATCCCACATAGAACCTAATTTATTTACTATGTGATTGGCAAGCTCTCAGCCATTATCTGATTGTAGAATTGAAGGGGCTCCAAAAATGCAAAAAATATCAAGATTTCTAGCTACCTCTTCTGTTGTTTTTGATTCTAATGCATGTAAATGCACAAACTTAGATGGTCTCATTAGATCATTATAAACTTAAAACATTTATCACAATTTCAATTAGATCTACTTGTGAATGACTGTTCATTTTATTAGAAATCATTGGCCTTACAATTAATCCTTTCTTCCATAATTTAANCACATTTTCACTTTGCAGTTCTTCTCTGTTCTTCTTCCATTATTTACACATGTAGGTCATTTCACTGTTATCCACATTTGATATCATCACTTATCACATACTGCCATGACACTTGTCTGTCCACTACAACTGTCAAGAATTAATGCGATTGGCTAAACGTAGTGACAGCGGGTCAATAGAGAGCAGGGTCCTTGCCGTAATGCAGTTTGTGCACCAATTTTCATACGTGTGTTAATCAAGCCGAATAGTTTGGCCAAATATACTATTCGTTGCAACACTAGTTTAGAATGTTCATTTAGATGGTGTCTAGCACCCAACATTTGATATAAACCTGAAAATGCAAGGGCGTTTTTAAAACTATTTATACCTCAATAAAGCAGGAACTGTGCAAATTGTTTATATACTATATATATTACACTTTTCTTTTTGAGTTTAGTATACAGAGTAGTATTGTTAATTCATTCATCTGATATGTAATGAATCAGTTCCATGGTTAATCTGATATTTTGTCTAATTACTCAATGTAAATTCAGAAAAGAGTGTTGTTAATGATTTTTTAAAAGTAAATTCTAATCACTTAGTGATTCTTTAATGAATTAATCCTTCAAATCTCAATTTCTATTATTTTTGTATTTAGAAATTTTTAAAATTCTATTTAAGAACATATGATACTTACATTCTATTTAATTTCATTTTCAGACATATCCAACAAATTCAAGCTGCATCAGAGATAAAACAAAATTATCAATCAGCTGAACGAGCCAAGGCAACAAATAAGAATGAAAAAGCTCAAGTGGTGAATAAACATAAGAACTTGCAAATAAAAGACCTTAATATAGAGGAACTGCTTAAAGATAAAAAACAACAATCAAACAATTTCTTTGAAAGGAAAATGGGATATAAGAAATTGGAAGAACTCTGTTCAAAGGAGCCATCAGAGATACTGCTGGCTTTAAATTGTCCTAAAAGTGGATTTATAAAATTGTTAAAAGAAAACAGCATTTCTAATGATATGATGTCAAATATTATAACAGCATTGGGAAAGACATCTAAAGCTAAGGAAACTGCCAATTTGAGTTCACTAATAAATCAAGTAGCTTCTCAAACTCCATTTTTAAATCAGCATTTACAGCTTTATTTAATAAAACAATTGAGCCTATCTGTGGCTACTATTGACAGCATTCTACAATTTTTGAAAAAATTTCAAGAATTTCAGCCTGTATCATCTAGTGAAATATTAACATCTCTTATTCCCAGTTTGGAAAATGCTCTGGAGAAATTTAAGAGAAGAGGAATTTCTGTGCCATCAATTATTAAAAACAGCATTGAATCTCTGAAGACAAAGAAAGATGATGTAATAGAACAGTATGATGAAAAAGCAAGATACAGAATATCAGGTGATGAAAAATTGCATTCTGAAATGCCTCCTGAAGAATACAAAACAATACCAATTTTTCCAACAAAAGAAGATTTTGTAAACAAACGGCCATTCCTGCGTCCAAATATTGTTAAAGGGAATTATTTCAGTGTGGACCATTACCTTGATGTGCAATTTAGGCTCCTTCGTGAAGATTACGTCAGACCTCTTCGAGAAAATCTGGAAAGCTACAAACAATCTTCAAACCAGAAAGGTGCAGAAAAGAAATTTCGTGTTTATAACAATGTGCAAGTATTGTGCCCTTATAACACAGAGGGAGGAATTGTGCATTTAATTTCATTTGATGTAAAACCATTTTCTAGAGTCCAGTGGGAGGTAAGCAAGCGATTACTAACTGGATCATTATTGTGTTTTTCGTCAGATAATTTTGAAACTATGAAATTTGCAACAGTAGCCAATAGAGATCCATCAAAACTAAGAAAAGGACAGTTGGAAGTTCACTTTGAAAAGTTAGGATGCGATATGTTTTCAATACCTGCTTCAGAAATATTTGTAATGGTAGAAAGTGAAGCCTATTTTGAGGCTTTTAGGCACACGCTACTAGCTTTGCAACAAATAAATGAAGAAAATTTGCCTTTGAAACAATATATTGTGCATGTAGCAAACGAAGTAAATGCACCAATGTATTTAAACCCTAGCAGAGAATATAATTTTCTGTCCACTTTTAGAAATCTCTATTCTGCTAATAACAAAGGTATGGTTCCTGTTTTAGATCCGAATTGCTGGCCTTCAAAAGAAATATTGGGTTTAGATGCTTCCCAATATTCTGCTATACAAGCTGCATTAACTAAAGAAATGGCTATTATACAGGGACCACCAGGGACAGGGAAAACATTTATTGGTTTAAAGATTTCACAGTTGTTGTTGGAAAATTCTTCTGTTTGGAATAAAGAAAAAAATTGTCCAATTTTAGTTGTTTGTTATACAAATCATGCACTAGATCAGTTTCTTGAGGGAATGCTACGTTTCGAAAGTAATATTATAAGAATTGGTGGACGAAGCAATAATGAAAGGATTAAACAGTTACAACTCAGTCAAATTAGACAAAATGCTAGACGAGAGAGAAAAATTCCTTATCACATATACCTGACAAGAAGAGATATAATGGAAAAAATAGCGCAGATTAAATGCTATTTAGATGATATTCAAGTACTTTTAGAAAATAGCACTCAAGAAATTTTAAACATTCTACATCTGGAGCACTTTATGGAAAGAAGACATGTATATTTCCTTCAGTGTGGTCCTATACCTTCTTTAAGACAAATGTATTCTATTTCTGATTGGCTCGAACTCTCAAGTGTCGAGTTTGAAAATTTAGAATTAGATGATGACAAAAATATTAATGATGACAACACAGAATGCACATCTACAGAAAATGAAAATGTTGACGGCGAAGAGGATATTGAGTTTGAACTTAGTTTAAGGGAAATAGATGAATATGAATTCAAGCCCATTAATTATTTATTTCCTACTCAAAGACAATCTTTATTCAGAATAGTAGAGTCAAAGAAGACAGAACGTAAGAAGAGAAGATACATTAGTAAACAGTTAAGACACAATGACATCATGACCATTTCAGAAGTAAAAAAAATTGGCAATGTGTGGAAACTAGAGAGAGAGGATCGTTGGCGTTTATACAGATTCTGGGTTGCAAATTACATCATCAATACAATGCAAACTTATTCATATTTTGAAAAATTTTACCAAGAACAGTTAGAAAAACTTCAAGAATTGCGCATGGCAGAAGACAAATTTTTACTACATCAAGCAAACATAATAGGTATGACAACAACAGGCGCAGGT